GAACAGCCTGCTAATGATTAGTCCATCCCCTGAGTTTTACTTTGCAAAGCAGATGTAGCCATGCAGCCGGCAGTCACGGTTGGGCTGAGTGTAGGACTAAATGGGATGGATTAGGACACTGAGGCCCAGAGAAGTAACTTGGCTGAAGTCAGGAGGCTAGACAGAGCTTCCAGGTCCTGGACTGCAGCTCCCAGCCCCCTCCTCAGGAAGGGCTCATGCTCATCACTGTTGGGAATGACAAATGGCTGGAACTATCACAAATTCTATTAAGTTTGTCATGAGTTCCAAGCAAGACACACCAGGTGTTTTTGCCGGTGTGACCTGTCATTGGTGTCCCAACACCAATTGGCCATGGTATGGAAGACTAAGATATGTGTGGCTAGGTAAGGGGCTTCTCTAGCCTGTAGCTTGAAGGCTTGGAAGGACCTCAAACTCTTCAGCTTTGTAAGGCAATGCCTGCCTCAGTGTCTTTCCCATTAGTGGCTGCTGTGAAGGCTTTCTCTCCAACCCTTCAGTCCTACCTTCAGTCCTTTATTTTTTATGTATCCTGCCTTCAATTCTTTCTTTATTCTTTTTTTTTTTTTTTTTTTTTTTTTTTTGAGACAGGGCCTCACTGTGTAGCCCAGGCTGGCCTCCAATTTCCAACCCTCCCAGCTCAGTCTCTGTGCTGGGATTCTAGGCGTTAACCAGCACACTTGCCAGCTCTTAAATTAGCCAGTAACTATGAATGAGCCTGGAGAGAGCTGGTCCAAGTGTCCATCCTTCCACCCACTGACCTTTGTCTCTCTCACTTGATCCTACAGAAATCCCTGCCTGGGCTTAGGGACAGCCATGACTGAAGTCGGTTGGTGGAAGCTGACTTTCCTCCGGAAAAAGAAATCCACCCCCAAAGTGCTCTATGAAATCCCTGACTCCTATGCCCAAACCGAGGGAGGTGCAGAGCCCCCGGGCCCTAACGCCGGAGATCCTCACAGCGACTTTAATACCCGCCTGGAGAAGATTGTGGACAAGAACACCAAAGGCAAGCACGTCAAAGTCTCCAACTCAGGCCGCTTTAAGGAAAAGAAAAAAGTCCGGGCCATGCTGGCAGAGAACCCCAACCTCTTTGATGACAGGGAGGACAAAGGACAATGAAACCAACCAAAGAGGACACTAGCACCTCCCTGGTCCCTGCACTGGTGGGGTCTGAGGCAGGAGCTTGCGACACTGGCCTCTTGGGTCATTGCTGAAGACAGTGACAGGTGATGCCTATTGGCAGGAGCGCCTAGTTCTTAGGTTTGTATTTATGTGCCCCAGATTTACAAAGGGCCTGGGAGATTCCAGGGTCCTCCTCCCCACGATCACATACAAAGGCACTCTGGTCCAGGATGAAAAATGGCCATCCAGATGTACAGCCATCCTTGGCACAGTGGCTTGGCATGGCAGAGAACAGACGGGGAATCTAACGGACACCACCCTCTCCCTGAGCACAGGGTCAAGGGTGAGTTCCTATCGCTGCTCCCTCTACTTTCTCTACCTGTGACTTGTTTCCCAGGACCAATCCTAGGAGATCAGAGTTTCCAAAAAGTCACGTGATAGCGGTTGCCTTGGTGCCAGAGGCGGAGTTGTTGAACTTAAGATCACCTCTTAATTCAAGGAGTAAACTTCCTGGAACTTTGCTCCCGAGAGTGGAGGGGCAAAGGACACAGGCCCTCCCTGGGGTGCCACAGAAGGCCAGATCGGAAATCCCCAAGTTATTGCTTTGACCCCCACTTGTGTGGGTGCTGAATTACATACCCCCAAAGAGAAGCCTCATGGGCCCAAGGGTCCAAACTGGAGGGATGGGTTTCCTCTACTTCCCTGATAGTATTTAAGATGGATCAGCCCCAGAAGTCAATCCTGGAGCCTTGCATTTTGTTTGAAAAGGAAGTAGGTTTTACCTAGTAATAAACAATGCTGCAGAAACAGAGGTATTTACACTTTCATCTCACATGTACGGGGAGGCCACGTCCCTACATCCGTGTAAGTGGACTTTTATGCTCTTCAAATTTCAGGACTTCAGGAAGGGCCCCCAAGTATGACACTGTGGAAGCTGTGTCAGTAATCCTACCACCAACCTAGGCTTCGTGACAGGGGAGAAGGAAGGAGACAGACACCCCCTGATAATAGGCTCTGGGGGCTCTAAGAGAGTGGGACACCCCCTTGGCAAACAGACCCAAAGTCTCTATAGATCTCAACGGTTCCGTTTGGGGCCAAGATTTAAATTCTGGCGCCACCAGTTAGTAGCCAGATGAGCGTGGGGACAATTTAGAGAGACTTTCTCTGTAAAGCCAGGTATGAGGGCAACTCCCTGTGATCTCAGCTCTAGTTGAGGCAGGATTGTAGGTTCAAAGGTCGGCCAGGCACATACCGGAAGGCCTTGTCTCAGGAAACACAAGAAAAGCTCCTGGTGGCCTCAGGTGGCCCCCCTTCCACTTCCTTCTCTTCCAGAGTGCCACCATCCCCACCGCTTCAGCTTAAGAACCAGGGAAGAGTAATGTCACCCTGTAGTGTCAAGTCTGGTTCCTGCCCAAGCCACAGGGCCTGAGGTGGGGGGGTGGGAATCAGACATATCCCCGAGCTCATGGTGGGAAAGACCAAGGTGGCTGCTCAGCTACGTGGTCCAGCAGCTTCCAGGTCAGCTCCCCAAAGGCTGTTGGGCCACCCCACCCCTAGGGAGCTGTTGCTGAGGAAGTTTATTGCCAAAACAAACAGAACTATACAAGGAAACCTTTGTCAGCTGCCTCACCCAGTCTAGAACTCAGGGGATAAGGGAGGCAAAGCAAGGGCCCTGATTTTACCTCAGCCTTTTGCACCCCCTCCCTCTCCCCAGAACTTTCTAGGTCTCATTAGTTATTCCATTCATAAAATCTCCCAGAAAGAGCTGAGACATCCACAATCTTGCCACCTTGCTATTAGCTACCACACACATTACTGGGGGGGGGGGTGGCTAGGCTGTCTTCCTAGCCCCCGCCCTGACCCAGTCAAGGAGGCAGGTGTTGCTGTTAGCTCCCTCTTCTGAGAGTCAGAGAGGTTAAATCAACAGCCCTTGGTCAAGCACTTGGTTAAAGTGAGAGCTGGTCTGTTTGCATGAACCATGGTACCCTGTCACCCAGCACCTTCCATTCTTTCCTTTTGGGTTTCTTGGGGGAGGTGTTGTTTGTTTGTTTTGTTTTTTTGAGACAGGATTTATCTTTGGAGCTTTGGAGCCTGTCCTGGAACTCGCTCTGTAGACCAGGCTGGCCTTGAACTCAGAAATCCACCTGCCTCTACCTCCTGAGTGCTGGGATTAAAGGTGTATGCCGCCACCACCTGGCTTTTTTTTTTTTTTTATTTCTTCTGTTGTGCTTTGGAGTGGTATCTGCAGGAACAATTCATTATCATCTGCAGAATGGGACAGGGGAAGAGACAGGACAGTCTTTAGGTCTTAGGCCATTGGAAGGTGACTGCCACCAAGGGGAGTGTGCAAGCCCTGGAACCTGGGGGAAGAGAGCCAACCTGTTAGCCAAGGGGCTGGTATCTTCTAAGACCCATACTGTGGGTCCCTCTCACATCAGCCCATCCTGAGATTACCTAACCCCAGATAGGGAATGAAGATTGGTACTGGGTATAGACTAGTGGTTGTTTTTGCTTTTTTGAGACAGGAGCAGCCCAAGATGTAGCTCAGGTTGACCTCAAACCCACAATCCTCCTGCCCTGGCCTTCCAATGTTGGGATTATAGAAGTGATCCATGCCACCTGGCTCATATGTCCCGTCCCCAATTCGGAGGATTCACGTGCTAGACACTCTATGGCTGAACTGTATCCCAAACACTTCCTTCCATGGGGTCCCTGGTCTCCAAGTCTTTTACATGCACCACCACAGCCCCAGAATGATCTCTGTGGGAATCTTCCAGGGATACAGTGTGTGTCCCCCTAAACTGGAGGCCTGGCTGGCTAGAGAGATCCAGCTGCCCCCAAGGAGTCCCAAGAAAGCCAGGCAGCCGCAAGCTTGCAGGGGCTGCTGGGAGGAGGAGGAGGAACGAGAGTGCAAATATGCACAGGAGCCCATATTATCAACCACAGTTTCACTGGGAAGCTGCCCAAGCAGAGGAAGGGGGAGGCAGAAGAGGCCTCCTGAAACTGCCCGGTAAGGGTCAACCCTAGCCAGCGGGCTCCCCCTGCTGGACCCAACCTGTCTGGCCAGAAGCAAGGAGGGAGGAGAGACCCAGTGCCAACGACAAAATAAGGCCAGGGTAAACATTACTATCACACACGGCCCCGACAAGTTTTTATTACACACTTGTATGTTGGAAATGGCAGCTTAGATCACACTAAAAATGGGGGACACACACAACCCCCTAAGAGGTGGGATACAACACTTCTCCTCAACAACTCGTTTGCATGTACCAATAAAGCCACAATCCACAGTACAGCAGCAAAAGGGGGAGGGAGGGAAGGGAACCTGGTGGAGGTCACAGGGTTAATGTCCTTCCAGAGGCAGGCTTAAGTGGGGGATCAACACAGGACAGGGCTGCTTTGGGAGGTGCTCTTATCAAGGACAGAGCCTGAAGCACACACCCACAAAGTCAAAAGAAGTACAGTGTCCGGAGTAACAAGTTCAAGGCCAACAGGAACAAATAGTAGTTCTCTGATCCCAGCTGAGTCACAGCAAACATGGATTGGCCCTGGCTCCTTTCCAGGGCTGGTAAGCCTCGCACATCTGGAGCCTGATTATTCTGTTGTTGGAAATGAGTCATATCAGCCGCTGCCCCCAAGATGGGCCTTTCCAAAAGCCACAAGCAAAGGCAAGCAAGGGAGATGATTGAGATTCTTTGCCGCTGTGACTCTATGCACCGGCCACACTCGGCTGCAGCTGAGTTTGGAGAACTCAGAGGGTGAGCTCTGGAGAGACTTAGATATAAGGGATAGGAAGAGAAACGGACGTAGTTTAGAAACAAGTTCTAGAGCAGGACCAGGTGGCACAAGCCTGTAATCACTGCTACTCAAAAGACTGCATGCACCAAGAACTCAAGGCCAAGACTTGTCCGGGGTACATACACAGTGAGTTCAAGGCCAGCCCAGTCAACTTAGTCCCAAAACAAAAGGTTAAAATTCTGGGACTATATAGCTCAGTGGTAGAACGTTGGCTAGCATGAGCAAGGTCCGAGGTTTAAACCCAAATGTCCCCCACCACACAGAGAAAGGGAGACCTGGCTTCCAGTCCTTCCTGTCTCTTAGCAGCTGCCCCCCACTCTCTTCCAGCTGATGACTCCCCAACATTCTGAGTCCAGAGTCAAGGTGCAAGTCTCTCATATACCCAATCTTCCTCCCCATGGTGGGTCATAGGTCCCAGGGGGGAGTCCCCTGTTGTCAGGCCTCGCCGGAAGACAATTCGGTCGTGTAGGCGGTTGGTTTGGCCTTGCCAGAACTCCATTACTTGGGGGTACAGGATGTAGCCACCCCTATGGAAAGAAGCAGAACTTTACTGTGTCTTCTCCCCCCCATCCTATAGGGTACAGGATGTAGCCACCCCATGGGAAGGAGCAGAACTTTACTGTGCCCACCTCCCCTCTCATCCCGAGCTCTCTTATGGGGAGCTCCTGGGATAAGCTGATGAGGGCTTCCTGGAGAAGAACTGAAACTCCACAGATAGGGCCCCGTGTCCCTTTCTGGATGTCCACAGGTGTGGAATCACTTACCAGTATTCTGGCTTAGGCACCTCTTGTTCCTGGTAGAGCTGTTCCAGCTCCTCGTTTTTCTTTCTCAGGTACTGCTCAGGGAAGACAGAGGAAGAGGGAGGCATGGGCCATGATCCACTTAAGGATCTGGGGCAGGACCCAGGCCAGGTATGGGGGACAGAGCCCGTTTTCCATCTTCCTATTCTCCTCCCCTAGGGACATGATGGCCCTTTTCTCTCTGCTAGATTGGCATCTCCTGGAGACGGCCTCCAGGGATAAGCCCAGGGCCTCACTAATTAAGAGGACATGCAGGAGCCCCACTTACCTCCCGGTCAGGGATCACAGAACTTTGGCGACTGACCACAGCCCCAATCTGGCTACTCTTGGGCCGGGAATGGAAGTAGTTCTCAGCCTCCTTCTCAGGCAACTTCTTCACAGTCCCCTCCACACGTACCTGTTCATGGGTGCCCCTGGCTAAGTGATGCTTGATCCTACAAACCCCTCTTACCAGCACACACCTGTTTCTTGCTGCTTTCTCTATCTGCTGTCCCACACTCTTGGCTCCAACCAGACTGACTGAGAGTTGTGTGAGAGGCAGAGTACCCAGGACTAGACAGAACGTGTGCCTGGTCTTGAAAGACCTGCAGAGTGTGGACCTTCCCGCTCCCACTCAGGAAAGGTGACACCCCAGATCACTCTTGAGAAGCGGTCTTGATGTAAAAGCATGAGGACTTTTAATTCCAAGTGCACCGGGGTCCATAGTCATACACCACACAGGGGTAGAGGACTGAAGACCTCGAGGGCAGAATTAAGACAATTTTTATAATGTTTATAACAAAGCCCACACATAGGTCACTGGGGTGGGCGTTTCACAAGCAGTTTACGAAGTCAGATAAGCAGTTAGTTAGCTCATTTTCTGTTATCAGGATTACGTACTCAAGGGCCTGTCTGTCATAACACCAAGGAGTGTGGCCTTGCCTATTTACTGGCAGAGGAAAGGGTCTGGAATTTGAGGTTTTTAGGGCTTTTTAGATAGTATTTCTAAACTTTTAGCTTCCTGAGGTCTTTGGAGAGTTAGGCTGTACTTTTGTATCCTTTCAGTCTGGGGACCCTCCCTACATTCATTTATAAATTCACCCCTGCCCACACAGTCCACTGGAAGTTGTCTTGGGGATGCTCACTCACCTGCCGGTTCAGGGGCTCCCAGTAGAAGACAAGAGAGGCAAAGGGATTAGAGTCCTGGAAACAAGAGAGAAGTCATAGGTACCATCGGAAAAACCAGCAACAATGCTACACAATGTTTCCTGCTCATAGGAGGAAGGCAACAGATGGAGGAGACTTTCAACAGATGCATTCACTGTTACATGGCATTTAAATTCTCAAAGGTGAGCCCCTGTGACAGATCTGAAGACAGGCTCTAAGGGCAGAGGAACATGAAGTTCACAGTCACTGGTAGAGCTGGACTTGAACTGGTTTAACTCCAGGATGAGGTTTGGCCATCCCAATCACCACAGTTGTGGTTTTAGATGTTTGTTATTGTTTGCTTTGTTCTTCTTGTTGTTTTTGAGACAGTCCTACTCTGTAGCCTAGGGTGACTCAAATATATGGTAATCCTCCTGCCTCATCCTCTGCCACCACACCCAGCTCACTCACGGACGTGCACCTCAGGGGGCATGACCAAATACAAATGAAATGCCAACTTCTACGCACTTTAGAACAGATGTTGGGGAAAAACAGATTAAATAAAAGCTGTAACCTTTACTCCACAGAGCTCACTGTATAGCAGAGGAGATAAATACCAATTGTGTAATTACATACACAAATGCACAGTCAGAGGCTGGAAAAAATAGCAAAGTAAAGCTGTAAGGTGCACTGCAGGCCAAGAGTGCCATGTGCCAGGGGCTGACTCAGATTTAGGTAAGGAAGGCTTCCCCACTCAGGAAACATGTGTTTGAGACCTACAGGAATGGCAGCTTACTGGGTAGCAGAGGATGGAGGTGGGTGTGGTTCACTCATTCACAGAATGCAAAGACCCCGAAGCAAGAGGAAGTCTAAGCAGAGAAAGGAATGGAAGGAGCAGGGGAATCACGAGAAGACCTTGTAAGCCAGGGTGGAGGCTGGCCCTGCCGGCCCTGGGAAGGATTCAACCTGACCCTCACCAGCTCTTTTCCCTTTCGGCTCTCGTAGTTAGTGAAGAAGCGGAAGCCATCCTTGCCAAAGCCCTTCAGCAGCAGCATGCGAGCAGAGGGTTTTCCATCTCTAGGAGCACACAGCAGAGCATAGGTCAGAACCCACTCCAGCATTCTCACCCCTGAGCATCCCCTTCAGCCATGCCCCTTATGGAGGCAAATATCAATCGTGCAGTCACATAAACAAATGCAGAGTCATGAACTGGAAAAAAAGGGCAGAGTGTTAAGTTGTGGGGTCCAGCACCATCAAACAAGCCCTTGGGCATTTGTGTGGAGGTCCAAGTGTGGTACCATTACGTGAGCGCTCCTTGTGGATCAAACAGCATCCTCCTAGGGGATGTATGGCACACAGATGACGGGAGATGTCATTATGTATATATGTTTCTCATACTGGTTAACGAATAAAGTTTGGGGCTGGCGCGGCGGCGGGACAAGACCAGCGGCAGGCGGAAAAACCTTACTCCTTACACACAGCATCCCTGACAGCCACTTGCTCTTAGACTTCTGAAGTGTAAAATGTAAACTTTTATTGCCTAAGCCACCCAGTCTGTGGCATTTTTCTGTGACAAGACTGAAAAATACATAAGACTGGAAGAGAAAGGACCAACAACAATCTTGGAGCCAACTGACCACTCAAAAAGGGGCAATGATGGATGGTCCTCTGCTCCGAGCTCTGGGCAATACTCAGAGGATGGTGTCAGCCCTGCTTCGAAGCCTGGTGCTTTAGTGAGAAGGGACAAGAGCAACTGAGTAAGAGGATAGATAACATAGATCTCTCGATAGGTGGTGGCACAAGGCTTTGATCCCAGCACTCGGGAGGCAGAGGCAGGCAAGAAGCTCTGAGTTCAAGACCAGCCTGGTCTACATCGGGACTTACACAGAGAAACCCTGTCTCAAAAAAAAAAAAAAAAAAAAAAAAAAAAAAAAGAAATAGAGACAGGCAGGCAGAGACAGACAGATCTCTCAAAGGATAGAACTGATTGGCAAATCCTATGTCAGGTTTCAAGAGAGGGAAAGGGCTTTGGGCAAGAGGGCTTGAGCAGATAGGAGCATGAGGGAGGCTTAGAGTCGTGAGTGGATACATCAAGGGTCAAGATATATAAGGAACTGCATTTTATCACTGAGGAGTACTTAGTGAGTTGGCTTTTGTTTACCAGTTAAGAACTTGTTTACTGGGGCTCAGAAAAGATCACTAACTCAACTGGAGCTTTAATAACAGAACTGTACTTAGTTTAGGTCTTCCTAAGTCTAAAACTCCATCTGAACCCACCCACACAGGGGCCCATGACTGTGCCTACCTGGTGCAGGTAGCCAGACACATAGCATTGGCTTCCCCTATGTCCGGACATTGAACAGCCTCCTCAAACCAAGAAGCGAACTGCTTCATGGGGTCCAGAGAGGTCAGGTGAGCCTCCTCAAATGCCTAGAAAGAGAATTCGACTTCATTTAATGAACATATAATGCTTACTTTGTGCCTGGCATGGGCTGAGGTGCCTTTCAAATGTAAATGCATTTAGTCTTTATAACGATGACCTTGAAACAAAAAAGCACTACCAGAAATAGGTTCTGTGCCCATTTACAGGTGATGAAACAGCACAAAAATGGCCCACAGAGATTCTGAGTCTCCTAACCAGGAAAGGATGAACCAGGGCTAGAGGGAGCTTAAAGTCCTGTGGGCCGGCCACCTCATCATTTCTCATGGAGCAGTTCTAAGTTTTACAAAAACCCACATTTTAGACAAACACTTCCGGAAATGTTCACATATAATCAATCACACTTAGCAGCTGTAGCTCTAGTTTTCAATTTCAAAACTTATCTCTTGGTCCCTGACCGGAGGAGGAAAAAGGAAAAGATCCAGGAGGGGCTCAGGGGGATAGAAACAAAGAACTTCCAGGTTAGCCTTGAACTCATTGTGTAGCAGAAGGATGAGCCTGAATTTCAGATCCACCATGCCTAGTTTATTTGGTGCTAAGAAAAAATTCCAGAACCTTTGTGCACGATAGGCGAGAAAGAACTCTACCAACTGAGCTATAGACCCAACTTCCACTTCATCATCGTCATTATTATTATTTGGTTTTTCAAGACAGGGTTTCTCTGCATAACCTTGGCTATACTGTTCTGGAACTCACTTTGTAGACCAGGCTGGCCTCAAAACTCACAGCTCCACCTGCCTCTGCCTTTCTAGTGCTGGGATTAAAGGCGCACTCCACCACTGCCCAGCCACTTTATTATTTTATACAGTGTTTTGTGACTATTTATTATTTATTTTGATTTTTCGAGACAGGTTTCTCTGTATTGTTTTGGAGCCTGTCCTGGCACTCTGTAGACCAGGCTGGTCTTTAACTCACAGAGATCCGCCTGCCTCTGCCTCCTGAGTGCTGGGATTAAAGGCATGTGCCACCAACGTCCAGCTTGTGACTGTTTTAAACACTTGCAAAAGCCTAAACACAAGCTGGTGGAGATGGCTCCACAGGTAAAAGCATCTGTCACTAAGCCTGGCGACCTGAGTAGCCTGGGGGACCTACATAGTAGAAGGGAAGAAAACCAACTCCCGAAAAATTGTTCTCTAACCTATACAGCACACATACACATTAAATGAATAAAAATGCAAAAATTAGAAGGACCCTAATCCACGGCATCCTTGTATTGTAGGTGTTATCACTTTCCAGGTTAGTAAACTGAGGCCCAGAGAGGATAAATTGCCCAAGGTGATATGGTCAGAAAAGGGCTGGGTTCCAACCCAGGTAGGTTCTGAAGTCAGTACCCCTCACCACTAAGACGGGCCTATGAGAAGCACACCTTTATCCCACGTTTTCCTCCCCAGTTGTCTCTGAAACCCCGTTTTCCCATCACGGTGATCCCTAAATCCTGTTGCCCTATCTGTGATCCCAGAGGCCCAAAGACGCTCTCCAACCCCTTGGTAGATAGATAACTCAGGGACACCCCCTTTTCGTGCCCGGGTGAGAGTGGCTGCACCTCACGGTCTCCGCGGTAACTCTTGCGCATCGGTCCCAGATCCATGACAGCAGCCCGATAGCACAGGTGACGGAGGTAGCCTGACCACTTCGAAGGTCGCCTGAACGTCGCGGTGAGACTCAGCAGCCCGCACGTCATGTAGGCAAGTCGGTCACGTGCCCCGACGTCGTCAGGCCCGGAGTTCCTCTGGGTTCGGAACCAATTGCTTAGCCTGGGTGTCTAGCCTGGGAAGAATTTCCTAGTAGCCCAGACAAGCTAACAAGTCCGAAGTTCTCGGAGCCAAGGTGCCAGGACAGCCAATAGTTGTCCAGGATCAGAGCAGGGAGACCGACGCGGAGAGCTCATTGGTTTGTGTTACCTGAAGCGAAACCAATTAGAACGAGAACGGAGGAGTCCCGGAGCCAATGGGCTACGCTTCCAGGGACCGGAGCAGAGAGACAAGGAAATGCTGTCACCGCCGTTAATAGCACGTGGAGGTTTGTTAAAGGTATAGGGACCGCTGCAGCTAAGGCGGGGTTGAGGGTGGGGGTGGGGATGGAGGTGGGGAAGTCCCGGGAGCTGGAGAGGAGCGATCTGCTTTAAGTGGCTGGGCTACTAAACAAGAGCATTGGGCAGGAAGCACCTTCTGGAAGCGGAGGTTGGTAGCCTGGGGAAGGAAACATGGCATTAGGTCCAGACTCCGAAGCAAGGTGATGGAAACACAGAGAAAAAGAGGGTAGTCTGGCTGAGGGAAAAGATTGCGGCTTGTGAATAGGAAAGGTAGAAACGACTTGTGGACCACACAAGTAGGAGCTGATGGGCGTGAGGATGGGAGGGTACTCTGGGGACCAGAAAGATGCTCTGGGGTCATGGGGGAGACTCTGAGATGAGAAGGGAGGCAGCTGAATAGAAAAGGGAAAATTGGGATCAGGTTACCCCAGGCCGGAATGGTCTTCTCTTATGACTTGCAACCCATTCATGCCTTGTTTCCCTAAGCGGTGGGCTGGACTCAGAGCATCCTATCCCTTGGCAATGGATGAACATACTAGCTGGTCACTGCTCTGACAGATGGAAGGGCTGCCCCTCTCCCAGGCCTCTGGCATCTTGGTTATTTTCCCCTTTCACATTTTTTTTCCCCCTAGGTAGTGAGGAGGCATAGTTCTTAGTCAATGCCCGCAGCAGCCAGCTGAGGATACAGGGGAATGGCTGCTGCAAAGTGATCTCAGGCTGTGTATGGAGGGCTGAGACGTGGTGTGCTAAAGATGACTGTAGTCCTGGTGTCTGCCAGCCACAAGAGCCGTCTGGTCAGGCTCCAAGAACTGTGCCAGGTAAGGGAACTTCTTGGTCTGCCTTGTGCTCAATGGGGACCTGTGGTGCATGCCTATTTGTAATCTCAGCACTCAGTTAAGGCAAGCCTTAGCTACCTAGCAAGTGTGAAGCTAGCCTGGGCTCCATAAGATCCTGTCTCGAGAAAAGCTCACTTGTATGAGTCTATGTGCTCTTCAGCAGTGGGAAGTTTTGGTCCCATGTTTTCTCCCATGAACACGACGGAGCAGTGTTCCGGCCCCTTGCAGTCATCTAAGCATCCGCTGGTGTTCTGTAGAAGGCTCCACTCTGGGCTTCCGTTAGATTGGAGCTAGAGTTTTGTAGTTTCTAAGGCTTTAAAGGCAAGAGCATGAGCTGCATTTGGTTCCACATCTGTGACTCCAGCCCTTGGGGGACTGAGGTGAAGGGATCATGAGATCCAACATGGCTACATAGCGACCCCTGCCTTTAAAAAAAAAATACGTTTTTATGTAGCCTAATCCGTGTAATAAACTTTGCTAAAGATTGCTTTTGGACCAGGCATTGAACCGAGTCTGACAATACCAAGTGACGGCAGTAGCACGTTTCCTGTCCACGGTGGTCGAGCTCTGAGCCAGAGAGAATTGCAGGTGGTTAACATGTCTCTGTTAGGCAAAGGGAAACAGAACTAAAGGGTCAGTCAGTCCAGAAAGAAAGGCTGTCAAGGGAGCTGACAGTAGATTTGTCGTGGATGGGCAGTGGAACGTGTGTTCATGGAGAGGGGAGGTGGCAGGTAACGGGATGTCTGCGGCCTCCGAGCGGTGCGATGCTGCTGGAACCAGGGAGTGAGGAGCAGGCAGGGACGGGCTCCTCACTGAAGACCCAATGGGAAGATAGTGAGGGCCCACATTTTAGACTCAATGGTTCTAATTTCTTAAGACATTGTGGAGCCAAGAGCCTATTTTGTGGTGGGTGTTTTTGTTCGTCTAAGACCACTTTGAATCAGGCAGGTGTGGTGGAATGTGCCTGAGAGCCAGCTACCTGGGAAACTGAGGCAGGAGGATCATGAATTTGAGGCCAGCCTGGGTGGCTTACCAAGAGTTTATCTTGAAAGACTTCAAGCTGGGTAGTGGTGGCACACACCTTTAATCCCAGCTAGGTAGAGGCAGGTGGATCTCTGAGTTCCATCAAGGCCAGCCTGATCTACAGAAAAAGGAGAAAGAAAGGAAGGGAGGGAGGGAGGAGAGGAAGGGAGGAAGGAAGACTTCATTAAGGGCTGGGGCTATAGCTCATTGGTAGAGTGTTTGCCTCCCATGCACCAGGATCTGGATTCCATTTCCAGCATCATAAAATCTGGATGCAAACCAGAGGGGATGTGAAAATTTTGCCAGGCTGTCTCTTCCTTGGCCATCATCTGGGAAGTTTGCTGTTGACTCGGTTCCCATGTTTTCCTTTGCTTTGACATTAACACACAGGCCTGAGCTGTGCTTTTCTGCTTGGTGGGATTTGGTGTCTGAACGGTAAGGCAGCTCTGCAGTGTGTAACCAGAGGCAGAACCGCCTTGGCTGAGGCCTCCTTTCATTCTTTTTGGAATGGATACTGTGTGTTCTTATTCTTATTGGTACTGCACCCAACGTTGTCGTATTCTTTTCTTGAGAAAGGCCTAACTCAAGCAAAGCAATGCCTTGCAAAAATTGCATTGCACAGAGAGCTGTGCTGTTCTCTCAGGGACTGTTTGCCCCTGTTTGAGTGTTTGTCTCCAAAGGTTTTTATTTTCTCTTCTTCTTCCTCCCCCCCCCCCCTTGGGTTTTTGTGGTGGTTTTTGTTTGTTTGTTTGTTTTGTTTTTGTTTTTTGTTTGAAGACAAGAAAGTTTATCACTATGTAACTCTGGCTATTATGGAACTTGATATATAAACAAGGCTGATCATAAACTCATAGAGATCCTCCTGCTTCTTATCTCCTTAGTACTGGGATTAAAGTCATACACCACTTTTATCTATTTTTTTTAAAACTACTTTTCATTTAATTGTCTGATGAGATTATTGGTTCTTTATTTCTTTTTCTTTTTTCCTGAGCCATGATTCACAATTTAGCTCTTGCTGTCCTGGAACTCATTCTGTAGACCAGGCTGGCCTTGATCTCACAAAGATCCTCCTGCCTCTGCCTCCCACGTGCTGGAATTAAAGGCTTGAGCCATTGGTTTTTCTTTTCTTTTCTTTTTCTGGCTTTTCTAGACAAGGTTTCTCTCTGTAGCCCTGGCTGTCCTAGAACGCCCCTCTGGAGACCAGGCTGGTCTCCAACTCAGATTCCCTCCTGCATCTGCCTCCCTTTAATCCCAAATGCCGGGATTAAAGGTGTGTGCCACCACTTGGTGGAGCTGGGTTTTCGTTTTAATTTCAGTGATTGAAGCTGTATTTTGGAACCTGGCTCTGGCGGCTGACCAAGTGGATGACAAGAAAGGGAGGGTAAGGCTAATGGAACAGCGATAGCGTTGCCCAGGTGAAAGCTGGGGGCGGGTGCAGGGGCATAACTCAGGGGTAGTGTATAAACATTAAGAGGGGTGTGGAGTGGGGATCAGTTCACCAGGACTGGCTTTAGGCTGTGTGGGTGCTGCTAATTATCAGTTGGAGAAGTTTTAGGGACAGATGAATTCATTAGCAGAGCTGTTGAGGGCTTATGGGACACCCATGTTTGACCCGGCTGGAAAAAGGAAGCTGGAGTCTAGGGGGAAGGGTTAGGCTGATATTGTGGTTTAATAAGGATCAAGGAAGAACAAATAGGCCGAATAGATGTTTATTCAGGGAGACAGATGAACACCAGCAGGTTCCTCGTCCCAAGGATGCCTCTGGATGTTTTCCTGTCCCCGTACTGCAAGAGAGAGCGCTACAGGCCCCTTCCCCAGACCTAGTTCCCCCAGGTCACATCCACCCCTGTCCCCACCCCAGTGGGCATGGTCAGTGCCACAGATTCGGACAAGGTGGATATATCACTATAGGCTGATGACAACAATTCAGTAGGATGAGCCTCCAAAATGGCACTTGAAGCCATAGGGAAGCTGAGGTTGTATGGGAGACTGGCTTGGAATTAAGGAGCATGGTGGGGAGGTCAGGACAAGTGATGATGCTGTAATGATCTATTATATTGCTGGCATGATACGATACCACCTCCAGCTTTCCTGGGGGGAGCAGTAGATTGGGCTGGGGACCAAGCTCAGGAGTTCTCAGCCTGGGTGAATTCAGCTTAGAGCAAACAAGACACGTGGAAAGGTGACGGTTGGCTTCCTGCAAGCTAGTGGTCGAGCCCAGAGTAGCTTATCAGGGGCTCTCAGAGGCTTTCTGTGGGTGGGACTTGGGGAGGCCCAACCTTGTCAATGCCCTGCCTGTGGGGATGTGTGGTTAAGTTCTGCCTCCTACACTCAAATGGCTTCCCTACATGGTCTGTGGTGTTCATTCAGTGTGCCTGATATTGTCTGTGAGCTTGGGAGCTTCTCTGAGGTGGAGTGAGGGTAACTATGTGACTTCTGTGGCTCCATCTAAAAATCCTAGCCCACAGGCATGCTCAGCAAATGCCCATCTATAATGAAAAAGGACATCATTTATGAGAGAGCCTGTCTCAAGGGAAGAGGACACCTGATGTCCTCCTCTGACCTCTCTGTGAAACTGCCGCCTTTAATGATTTCACCTTGACCCCAAAGATTTCTGTCAAGGGCTAGAGAGGTAGCTCTGTAGATGAGGGCACATGCCTCTAAGTCTAACAAACTGAGTTTGGTCCCTAGGACCCGCATGGTAGAAGGATAGTGACTTCTGCAAGTCACTCTCTAGCCTCTACATGCCTCATGGCATGTGAACACACACACACACACACACACACACACAGAGGATATAAAAGT